CATCAACATTCTGCAACGTAAGCTCTATGATGCTATCAGTCACTGCTGATGTGCTTACGGTGACCTGAGGAGTTTGTCATGTACTATGTGGCACTGCCAAAAAGCTTTATCGCTCTGCAGCAACCATACGTCTTCATGTGTTGTTTATGCATGTGGCTACAGTGAGCTGACCTCGAACAATTATCTCTGACGATCTCCTCTGAGATTTAGATTCAGGTCAAGAGTTCTTCAATGCTCCTGCTGGTAGATGTAGATGATGTAGACCTCTGCCATCAATTAGAAATCCTGACTCAGCCAATTCAAAAGTAAAGAGAAAACTTTAATATAAATAAGCAATTGTAAAAGTATTCCAGGGTGAGAAGAGAAGACCTTAATTTTTATAGTATTTACTGAATTTAATGAAAAACTGATTAACTACATTTGCAGTTTGCATACTACATGTTGGCATTGTTATTTTGGTCAAATTGTAAGGAAACATTGCAACTTGGACTGTAAACAATAGGACTGATGGATGGATGGGACAACAGGACGGATGGAACAATAGGACTGATGGACGGATGGACCAATAGGACGGATGGACGGATGAAACAATAGGACTGATGGATGGATCGAACAATAGGACTGATGGAACAATAGGACTGATGGAACAATAGGACTGATGGATGGATCGAACAATAGGACTGATGGACGGATGGAACAACAGGACTGATGGATAGACGGATGGAACAATAGGAAGGATGGACGGACGGATGGAACAATAGGAAGGATGGATGGACGGATGGAACAATAGGAAGGATGGACGGACGGATGGAACAATAGGACTGATGGATGGATAGACGGATGGAACAATAGGACTGATGGATGGATAGATGGATGAAACAATAGGACTGATGGATGGATAGATGGATGAAACAATAGGACTGATGGATGGATAGATGGATGAAACAATAGGACTGATGGATGGATAGATGGATGAAACAATAGGACTGATGGATGGATAGATGGATGAAACAATAGGACTGATGGATGGATGGATGGAACAATAGGACTGATGGATGGATGGAACAATAGGACTGATGGATGGATGGATGGATGGAACAATAGGACTGATGGATGGATGGATGGGACAACAGGACGGATGGAACAATAGGACTGATGGACAGATGGAACAATAGGACTGATGGACGGATGGAACAATAGGATGGATGGACGGATAGGATTGATGGACGGATGGAACAATAGGACGGATGGAACAATAGGACGGATGGAACAATAGGACAGATGGAACAATAGGACTGATGGACGGATGGAACAATAGGACTGATGGACGGATGGAACAATAGGACTGATGGATGGATGGAACAATAGGATGGATGGAACAATAGGACTGATGGACAAATCATATATGAGGGAAAGAGGCGAGATTAGAGGGTGGAACAGTGAAAAAAGAGGTTTAATGAATCCGGTCCATAAACTTCCGTTGGCTAACCATCAGAGGTCACCCTTCCCATTTTCATTGACTCTCGCACTCACACTGTTGCATATCTTCCCGGACTACATATCCCATCATTCACAGCACTGATTGTACACAGCTGGTTCACTAATTGCACAACACTGATTGCACCCAGCTGTTTCATATCACTCCCTCACTATTTAACACTCACTCTGATCCCTTCCCTCTGCCGAGTATTGTTTAGCGCATATCTCTAGATAGCTACACTACAGAGCCCTCATTAGTTTCCCTGCCTTAGCCTTAGCCTTAGCCTTGGCCTTGGCCTTGTCTGTTTTCTCGGTTTCTGATCCTTGCCTGGTTTCCTGGATTTATCCCTTTAGTCTCGCCCTTTTTGATTCTGTTCGCCGTTCGTTGACCTTTGCTAGCCCTAGGATTATTCTTGTGTCTTGCCCACTATATACCTGTTTGCCACTGTTTGACCCTGCCTGTGTTTCTGACCTCTCTGCTCAATAAAGCTTTGCATATGGATCCGCACGTCTCACGTCTCGTCAGCCCCGTTACAGTTCCTTATTAAAACTAAAAGGTTTTCTAGGACGATGGTGGACCAGGAGCATTAAAGATGAGATGAGGGAATAAGAATCACCGCATGAAACACAGCTGAAGGGTGAGCTGCTTAAAAGTGAGGCTTATTGGGCACAATTACTAGAGGAACCTGATAGTGTTTCTCTGTGTGTCGGCACATTTTCCAGAGAGAGTTATTGGCTTGTTACTTGATTTTAATATCTCTGCTATCTTTCACCCACAGGGCCCCATTAGATTATAGCTCATGAAAGAATAATGAGGTATAACCACAACCAACACAAAATCAAATGAGACACTGAGGTGATGCGATGCATTGGTGCTGCATACAACATCTACAACTCGTTATATTGGATTAAAACACTTCAATTCTATTTACCGTCACACCTCATAAAGATCCTTCAGTCTCAAGCATATTTTAAATGGAGGAAATGCACAACAAACGCTTTTCAAATTCATTTACTTAAGCAGCAAAACAATAAGAGAACAAAGTTCTTTGAGCCACATGCCACATTTGTCAGTGTTTTTATCATTCAGTGAATAGACGGAGCAGCACAACTGAAACATCCACTGACAGGATCATTAAGTTTGCCTCGCGACTAGTGCAAATATTGGCTTTGTTGTCCCAAATTGCACACTATCCATCCTAAACGCAAGTTTAAATTTAGTACATCCCAAATCAAAGTATGTTTCAAACAGTGTTTAAAGGATTTCAAAGGCACATCAAAAGCATAGTTTTGGGTTAATATACCAATAATTATACTACACAAGAGGACAACCTTGATTTCTTTCTCTTTTTTCCAGTAAAAAATGTCAAGGAATACTAATTAAAAAAATGCTACAGCAGGTCTTCCATGTATGAACCTATGAACATGTTTTATGGAAGCTTGTTTCTGCAATGGAATAAAAAATAGGCCTAGTAATTAAAAAAAAAAGTGATTTTATCTCATGATTCAGACTTTTTTTCTTACAATTCTGATTATCTTACAATTAACACTTTTTTTACTGAATATATATTGCAATTCAGAATAACAGTTGTAAGTCAGGATTGTGCGATAAATTCAAAACTGCAAGAAAAAAAAGTTAAAATTCTAAAGTTTATATCTTTATATTAATTTTATCTCGCAATTCTGGCTTTTTTGTTGTAATAAAGTCTGAATTTAGATTTATTTTTTATTATTTCCATAATTTTATGGGTTAGATTGAATGCAGTGAGTGCCATAAAACTGTTTACTCTCAGCATAGATTGATATGCAATATCCCTCCTCAACCTGAGAGAAGATTTCATCCAAAGTTTAGACACGGACCTGACACTGACAAAGTCACCATTTCCTTTTCATCAATGAACCACAAGAAACTCCACACTCTCTCGACTATTTGATGCTCAAAGTGTGTTAGCAGGAGTCCTGCTAAACCCCCTTCACCCCTGAGTTTTCCATATTAAACCACTGAGAAACCTGATGTTACCTGGAGGCGCTAGATTTCAGTGGCTACCGCTGCTTTAGACTTTAATGGGAGGATTTGAGTGGAATTTAAAAGAGTGAAGGGTCACCTTTACATGGGTAAATTGAGAAACTTTACCAGCCATGAATACATTTTTACCAGCTACATGGAACTGTATTTAGCATTGTTTTTCTTGCTTTCTGCGTTTCATGTTCTATCTCTTTCCTCTTGCTCCCTTCATTTCTCACTTATTTTAATTACTACATAATGTGGCATTACTCTTACTAATGACCTCTTCATTTGACTGTATGTGTATTAGTAAGAAGGATTATGGTGTTTGAGTCAGATGTTGTAGAAATAACATAACCCACAATTCTGTGCTTATGCTGAGTTGCAATCATGTGATGCTTTGGTTTAATGCCCTTGTAATGGTTAATAAATCAAATGAACATATAATTAGACATGACAGGCACTCTTAAAAAAAAAGAAAGATGCTTTGCATAGATCATAAATTATCACAAATGCATGCTATACAGATCATTTAAGGGTGGTCTGGCTATCCCATACGGCAAAAAGTACGTTTTCAAATGTGTATATATTTCAAAATTTACAAAACATTCTAAATATTCAAAAATATAAAATTTCATGTGTTTCAATCCAAGAAATTACATTCACTTGTCACATTTGAATAAAAACTTTATTTGTTGTCTATAATGTGTGTAAATAAATACACTCTAGTAGGTTAATCCATTCACATATCTAGCCTAAATGTAGGCTACTGTAAGACTGGAAATGTATTTTGCTGTATGGAATAAGAGTTAAAAGTAAATATATATTTCAGTTAAAATATATATTGCATTGTGCTTGACTGTTTACAACATATATTTAAAATATATTTTGGCAAGCATTTTTAAATGTTTTTTGCCATATGGGATATAATGTAGGGAACACCAGGAACCAAATTAAGATATCAAGGTGTCAAAGTTTGGTTATAGTCTTAATAGCCAGAATTTAACTTGCGGCATGAAGTCTGTCCCTCAATTATGGCCTAGAATTACCCACTTAGACAGAAAGAGATGCTCTAAAGGAGATTCTACCAACAATAATAGACCAGCACAGATTTTTTTTTTTACATAATCATGCAGCAATATCTATGAAAACACTGTAAAAATAGTGAAAATGTTTGTAGACTTTGTACTCCAAATGTATGCCTGTGCAAATAGCCAGGACTATTTCCCAGACAAAACAAAGCACTGCTTTTGATGATCTAGTTAAAAAGACTTTTTTTCTCTCTTCATTTTTGCATTTCACTTCTGTTCCAGCTTGTGTGCTAATCTATTTTATGCTTAAACTCGGCATTGTGTATTTTAAGTCTTATGATAAAAAGCTTACAAAGTTTCTCATTTGTACGTCACTTTGGATAAAAGCATCTGCTAAATGAATACATGCAGATGTAGTTTACTTACTGATAAGTGCTTCAAACAGAACTCTTTCAAAAGACTGTCAAAGACTGGATGACACTAACCTTGCAAACTTTGGCAGATTTGTTTTTCCTCAGTGCTCACTGTATCAGCATCTTAACATGACTTTGTTCCCAGCTGGCGATCAGACTGGACGTGGTGATTTCTGCCATGCTTGCTTTTTTGTGTGTAATGTGCATTATGATGCGATTTCAAGTTGTCCTTTCTCTTTGGAGTGTTACAAGCTGATTGTGCATAGATAAGATCCCTGAAGTTGCAAAGACTAAAGTCTCAAAACCAAAGAGATATTCTTTATCAAAGTTAAGACTCTGCCACGCCCCCCTAAAATGGCTCGTTTTTACACGCCCCCACATATCTACCTCACTATGTGGAAATATTTGCAGAATGTGGCCCAAATGTGCACGCAAAGAGAGAAGGCGTGGTTTCAGTAACCGCAGTTAGTGTTGAAGCAGCCATGTCAGGGAGACGCTGTGTGTTTCTATGCGAAAGTAAAAGCACTTTATTTGGCCTTCCGAAAGTAGATGCATTTAGGAATCTTTAAGATTACTTACAACAGAACAACAATGCATGTTATGGACGACTGTTTCGTGAACCTAGGAGAGGAGGTAATTCTGACTTTGCTGTGATAATCTGGCTCTTCTGAATCAGCCTACTTTTTTGTTATTAGTTTAAGTATTTGCTATTGACTGTTCAAATGCAGAGTTTTGCGCATCATGTGTGTGTGTGTGTGTGTGTGCGTGTGCACGAGCGCGTGCGTGTGTGTGTATGTGTGTGTGAGAGAGAGAGAGAGAGAGAGAGAGACAGGGTCACATCACAGTGGAGTCAGCTGTCTTAACCGTGGCTTGTGTACTGCAAACACATACCAGCTTCATCACTGTGTCTGTCACGCGACTCTGTTCCCCTTTCGGGCTCTGTCTTTACATTTATTTTGAAAGATGAAGCTCGCGATTATGGTAAGGGGCGTTACATTTCCGACGAGTGCTTGCGGTGTTCGGCCAATCCCAATGCACTGGGTCAGCTGGCCAATCAGAGCAGACTGCGCTTGTCGGAAGGAGGGACTTTGTAGAAAACGAAGCGTTTGAGAGAGGCGGAGCATATAGGACCTGCAATAATGTACAGTATTTGAAAAATAATGTGTTTTTGTAACATTAAAGCATGTCAACATATTCTGTTACACCAAATACACAAAATAATGATCTTTAAAAAAGCATCATATGACCCCTTTAAACGGTCAGTAAACAAACTGAGAGCTGCATGCTCTCGTCTTTGCTCATGGGCCTTCAGTTTGGACAAGGATCTTTTAGCCAACTCTGAGACTGACCTGAGTCATAAATGCCGTGTGACTAATCACTTTTTAGTCACAGGAAAATGACATCATGACGAAGCTGATTGGCTGATGGCACCACGGACCCTTCACTAGTGATCATGAGCTGTTATGTCAAAGATAACAGACTGAGAAAAATATCAAACTATTTCATGCTTTTAAGAGCCTACAAAAAAAAGAATGTCCACTAGAATGTTATCACTTAATTAAAACTATTAAAAATCATTCATATTATTTGACTGAAATAAAGCTAAAATAAAAAAAAAAAAATTATTTTAAAAAGTACAATGGTTTGATAAAGAAATGGTCACTTGTACAGTTGTTTAACTATAATATAATACTAAATATTATAATGTAAAATTAAACCATGATCATAATACATGCTGTACGCAATACAATGTTGTTATTTAAAAAAAAAAAAAAAAAAAAAAAAAAAATTAAATTAAAAATTAGAAATGTTGCCTTGGCACCTAACTGAAATAAGTTGAAGTAGTCAAATTAAAATAAAATTAAATAGAAATATTTTTAAAAATAATAAAAAGGACAAGCGCACATAACAAAATTACTAAAAGCTAATTTAGGTTAGGTTATTATAGTTAAATTACACAAAAATTAATCTGTTTAATTTGATGTACTAAAAAAAAGGAAAATTAACCAAAATTGAACAAATAATATAAGACTGTGACATAAAAAACTAAGAAAAATGACAAAACACACAGCAAAATAATAAAGCCTTAATTAAAAGGACAACAGAAAATGTACAAAAAAAAAAACTAATTCAAAATATGAATTAAAAACTATAATAATAACAGTAAAATAAAATAAAAATTATTATAGTATCTTAGTGAAACTAAAATATCACTGATTCAAAATATATACAATAAATAGCATACAAATAATACTAAAATAGCACTGCATTCATGCAATGTTTCAATAGAAAGAGGCAAAAATAAATAAAACAGCTGGAGGAGGACAGAATATCATAGACAAACCATCACCCTTGATGACTCCCTTGGGCACAAAGGTTTACACATCTTCATTTTTGTATATGCACTCATTTTCTGAATGGAAGAGCATTGTACAGTAACATTTACTCAGCCGTTGCGCCATTTCACTGCTGTAATTTGAGGCATTTTTCAGATGACTGAAGTGTCAAAGGCAACCATTACAGATGAACCCTTTTTGTAAATGATGTTTGCGTACCTTGATGCAGTACTTCTAGTTACTCATTTCCTGTGTTGTTTGCTTTTTCAGCCAATTTCTCAGTCGCCGCACTGATTCATCTAACAGCATGACAGCATCCAGAAATCTGGAACATCTTATCTTGCGCAACAGAAAAAGCTTCGAAAATGCTTTTCGATTTACAGAAGTCCTCCCAAGCGCATCTACTTAATCGACCTCGTGACATCAAATACATCACCGGTAATTATTTGTTAGCCTAAACAGGATAGATGTACGGCTCAGTTGATTGTATTTCATTGAGGCTTTCATCCCTAGGACAATTAAACTTAACATGACAACCAACTAGCGAGCACATTTGAATTTTAATTCCTTTTTAATGGTATCTTAGGCTATACTGAACAATATTTCTGAAATTCATACATCATTGACCACTTCCATTCATATTAGTCATCCAGATGAAACAGTACTGAACAGAACATCTAGTTCCATCCAGCAGGCTTTTGAATCATGCATAATGAATTTACTAAACACATAAATAAAAACCGCTTCCTATGCAATTCTGTATTAGACCACTTCAATTTCTTTGCTTAGATATTCAGAGGTCAGAGGTCAAAGATTGAGATGCAGCCAACAGATTAGTTCCTTAGGTATCGTCAGTCTTTTTCATTATTTATTTGTACAGAGAAATGTATACAATAACAATCACAGGAATTTAGGACAATGCGTCCACTGCTTATTCATGTAAAACACTCGCATATATTTCTGCATTCTTCTGCTAAACTGGCTACATTTGCTATTATGAACAAAGTTTCATATTTTTCTACACTGTATAGATTTTACAGTGGACAAAGTAATAAAATAAAAAACTTTTCACATTTGTGCATTTGAAAGACACTTTTATCCAAAGTGACTTATATAGATTGAAGGCATAAAACAGTTGCATTCCCTAGGAGTCGAATCCATGATTTAAAATGTATTGTATTTAGAGGGTATTGTAGTCAAATCTGTGATCTGCTCTGTCACTCATATGCAGATCATTTTTCATCCCCTGTTGTCCTCTCACATCACATACAGTATTTGTTTAGATCTGTTTTGGCCTCTGTTCCTCTGGCAAATGGTGCTTAATCTGTGCGTATTTCTCTCCTGATTCAAATAAAACAACTTTTTTACTGGAGAAAGCAATATTATGGATAGAGGATTCGTATTTTAGCTGAAAGCAATGGTTTGAAATTAAAATATCTTTATGATGGATTTGTTTCTTACAAAACATGGATGGATTTTGGACTCATATTTTGGCCAAAAGCAACAGATTGATGTTAAAAACATCTTAATGATGGATTTGTTTGTTATAAACATGCTGCTTTTTGTTTTACAAGACATTAACTGATGGACTGGAGTGGTGTGGATTACTTGTGGATTACTGTGATGTTTTTATCAGCTGTTTGGACTCTCATTCTGACGGCACCCATTCACTGCAGAGCATCCATTGGTGAGCAACTGATGCAATGCTACATTTCTCCAAATCTGTTCTGAAGAAGAAATAAACTCATTTCCATCAGGATGAGAAAATTGAGCAAATGTTCATTTTTTGGGGGAGAACTATTCCTTTAAATAATCTGCCATTTTGTTCCCTTACCAAACTGCCAAAACTTTTGTAAAAAGACATTTATAATTGGGCTGCTAGAGACAACTGCTTCAGTTGGAAATGTTTTTTGCTCATAATTGAATGGCATGTCAGAGTTGTACAGTTTTGTACTTTGGTCAAGAGCAGCAAGAATCCAGCAGCAGCAATGTAATGAAGCTGAGAGTCGGAATTCGTTTGACACGGTCACTGCTTTAGCATGTGATGAATCTGTCCAGCAGTGATAAGGTTTTATATACTGTAATATGCCAGTCCCTGAGATACGCTCCAGTGGGACTGTAAATGGATATATAGATATGGATAAAGTCGGGCTTAATATAAAACAAAGAACAGAGAACGGTGTCATAACCTTACAAACTATTGAACCTTCTTTTCCAAAGTCAAAAGGGGTTGAATCTCACAAAACTATAACGCATATAATTATAACGTGACCACACATTTTATAAATGTAAAATCTCACATTTTACCCCAAAATAAACCAATTATAATAAAAACAAAACAAGAAATGATATTCTGCATAAAGAAAAAGTTTTTTTTAAAGACCATTAACCATTATTTTCATGGTCCTTACTTTGTTACAGTAAAATAATCATTAGGGCCATACAATTTGTAAAAGAAAACAGCATTAATTTAAGACTTAAAGATTACACCAAGATACATATTTTCACATAATATAATTACAGTAATGAGAATTTGAGGAAGAGTTAAATGTGTTTAAATGAGAGGAAAACAGAAAAGAAAAAAATGAATAAAATAAAATAAAAATGGTTTCTGTTTTCTTATTAGATTTTGAGGTGATTGTTAAATTTAGTTTATCATATTCTATTTTTATTTTGTCTGTGAGCTGTTGGCCCATGAGAATCATGTAACTGATGCCCTCATTCTAGTGCTGTGATCTTAAATTTGTCGTCTTTTGTCTTTTTATATCCAGGAACTACTGAAATATTTATAGAAAGCAGTTGTTTACAACAGATTTCATTTAAAAGCAGGAATGTATCACTGCTTTAAAGCTGAATCAGACTGAACA